CTAAATGAAGTTGCAGTTGCATTTCATCGAATGAGAGACCTTGCAATCATTCGAAACGCACTGGGGAAAAATGACACTTCTTCTTCAGGGATTGTCTTTCCACTCCCACACTTCGTCTTCAGGGATTGTCTTTCCACTCCCACACTTGATCCATAGAGTGATGTACAGATGGACAAGGAAGGATGATAATGGGCTCTAAACCTCCTGTGTGACAGTTTCCCCTTCCCACACATTCAGAATTAAAAAGACAATATTGCTTTCCTACACACGAAGGGCCTTCTCTAGTTCATCCGCCGCCTGCTGTGCAGCATAGACAAGCATCCGTTTCACCTGCAAAGAAAAGCGCATGCGCATAACGTCAGACACAAGCAATCTGACCGGTGCAGATGAATGGATTCAATGGATTTGGTTGGTGGATGGGTGGATGGGTGGATGGGCAGACAAGTGGATGGGTCGAATGGATCATAAGACGGTTGGTTGGCTGGCCAGTGTAGATAAATTGCTGAGTGGGTAGCTGGGTGGGTGGTTGATAGTACTGGACTGGCAGCTGGACAGCTAGAAAGATGGGTGAATGGATGAATGCATAGACAGGTCAAGCACGGATAGACAGCAGTACCCTGGAGAAATCATAGGTGGATTGGCGGATGGGTAGACTGCTGGGAGAACGGACAGACAGACGCACACATAGATGTATGCACGGGAAGAGGGCTGGATGACCGGATGGATGGACGGGTGCAGGGATGGAGGGACAGAGACATAGATTTGAATCGGCGGATGGAGGTACAGGGATGGACAGGAGAGGTGGATAGATGGAGGGGTGGGCGGGAGGGCAGATGGGCGCAAGAGTGCACAGACGGGGGAGCAGACAGATGCACACATAGATGTATGCATGGGAAGAGGGATGGATGCCCGGATGGATGGACGGGTGCAGGGATGGAGGGAGAGAGACATATATTTGAATCGGTGGATGGAGGTATAGGGATGGACAGGAGGAGAGATGGATAGATGGAGGGGTGGGAGGGAGGGCGGATGGGCGCAAGAGTGCACAGATGGGCCAGCAGACAGACATACACGTAAATGTATGCGTGGGAAGAGGGATGGATGACCGGATGGATAGACGGGTGCAGGGATAGAGGGACAGAGACATAGATTTGAATAGGTGGATGGAGGTATAGGGATGGACAGGAGGAGAGATGGATAGATGGAGGGGTGGGAGGGCGGATGGGTGCAAGAGTGCACAGACGGGTGAGCAGACAGACACACACACATATGTATGCATGGGAAGAGGGATGAATGACCGGATGGATGGACGGGTGCAGGGATAGAGGGACAGAGACATAGTTTGAATCGGTGGATGGGGGTATAGGGATGGACAGGAGGAAAGATGGATAGACGGAGGGGTGGGAGGGTGGATGGGCGCAAGAGTGCACAGACGGGCGAGCAGCTCACTGGGCGGGCATGCTGGCCGGATGAACAGATGATGGACACATGAGGTCACAGACAAACACAGAGACGAACAGATAGCACGCTTCCAAGTATTGACGGCAAGGTGATAGTCGAGTTTACGGACATGGATGGGTGTGTATGGGTGTGTTGTCATGTCCGCTATACACAACTCCACAGAAAAAGAATGACCGTGGACTTTCAATGACTCGTCAGGAGGTTGGACCCTTGAACACCGGCAGTCTGCCAGGGAGCATTTGACTGACAGATATGGATTCGCCACATTGCCCTGATTTAGTGATACGCTTGAGAAAAGTGCTCGACTATACTAACACCAATCCTGCAATCTTAGGAGACTGTCAGGCCAAACCCCTGCAAATGGAAGTAAGTCTGAGAACGATGTGTGTGTCTTGAATTTTCCCCACAACAGCCCCAATTCCACATAGATGAGTAGATTCAGAAGCAAAGCAGCTTTTGTCCTATTGCTGACCATGACAGCACTTGAGTTGAGACAGTCCAACATTTAAGGAATTTTACAATTAGACAGTTTTTTGGTTATCCTTGGGGTACCCCTTCCATCTGTTCTTGCAGCTCTCCTTTTACTGTGCCTTGCACATACAAGGCTGCATGGATTGATTGTGGTTGAGCGGCAGCTGCCCACATCCATGTGTGCCTTAACGACCCACTTGCATGTTCTGAAAAGAGTCAGAGTGAAGGGAAAGGTATACTCCTGTTCATTTCACTTCAGATCTTCAGCTTATACTTTGTCTGTTCTCTTAATGATGCTCATTCATATGTTGTTTGCTGGTAGCACATAAGGGGAGGGTAAAGGGAAAGGGGTAAGCAGCGGAGTTCTGTAGAGAGTAAGGGAAAGGGGTAAGAAGCGGAGTTCTGTAGAGAGTAAGGGGCTGGGGAGGGAGAAAAAGGGTAGGGGAAGAAGTGGAGTGCAAGGGACAGGACAGAGATGCGATGAACTTCACTGGATTCTAAACACTCATCGCCAGAGCAGACTACTCTTGAATGTCACATGAGGCCAGCCAGTGTTTGGGTTGCATAAGATTTAGAGTCGAGGAGCAGCCGTCGCCTACGGTAAGTTGCCACCCCTACAGACCGAACACGGGTGTGGACTGTGAAAGCACCGAATCCAATTCTCGCAGTCGCAGTTGCTGCATCAAAATGGCTCGGCGTAATTGGCACCCCTACAGACCGGACACGGGTGTGGACTGTGGAAGCACTGCATCCAATTATCGCAGTCGCAGTTGCTGCATCAAAATGGCTCGGCGTAATTGGCACCCCTACAGACCGGACACGGGTGTGGACTGTGGAAGCACTGCATCCAATTATCGCAGTCGCAGTTGCTGCATCGAAATGGCTCGGTGTAGGCAGATGTCACAGTCTACGTGGCTCCTACATGCTACGAACATGGAGGCATGCCGACCACAATTGTAAAGACAATGTCATTCCAGAATGTCTACATTGGACACAACATGTCAGGGTGCCGTACATGAGTGCAGAACTGACTGTCATCATACGTATGAAAACAAAAACTCGCATGAGCTATCCCTTCATAATCCTCACGGCACAATGCATGCGAACCACGTGCCAGCTGGATCTCAGGCGGGTCATCACAGAGAAGCATTGAGCAAGTTTACTTATTCCCTCTCTATGGGCAGACAACGACGGGGATTGATCCTAGCTGCTGCAAAATTTGGTCTCCAACAGCTCGTCCTGGTGGAGATATCCTTTCAGTACAGCGCTCTGTAGGTGGTTCACATGGTAGTGTATTACCCACCTCCGGCCGCTGCGTCTGTCGTTCGTTTGGCAAGTGCCCAAGGTTGCATGCGGGACAAGCTAGGAGAGGATGTAACCGATGATGGCATTGGGGATAGTCCACGCATTAGAGACACATACTTTCTATGACAGCTTCCTGGAAACACTGACAACACATAGCATGTTGCTGACATGTCAGCAGGAAAGCAGGCTGACGTTCACAGCTATTTAGACATGGCATGTCGTGGGCAAGCAATTAGGGGGTGGGAAGGACGAGTACAAGACAAAGGATAAAAAATTTTCGCAGCAGAGGCTGGCAGTGACCATCCCTTCATAGTGTTTGGAGCAGAGACTATGCCATATGCATGCTAACTGCACTGTAGTTCTGTGACAACAGAATGGGACGGCACAGCCGTCGTCCTCTGGAGAGGCCCCTTCACTGTCCGTGGCAGAATCCGTCCGCTCTACACAGGGAGGACTCTGTGGCATACTGATACCACACGGCCCCAGTTAGGGCCCGGTTCTGTAGTAGGCACGGGGTAGGCCTAGGTACCGGGTCCCGACGGTCCCCAGCTAGGTCCAGGTAGGCCTAGGGAACCGCCGGTTCAGATTAGAGTCCGGTAGGCCTAGTTTAGACCCACCAGACCCAACAGCTAGTTGAGTTTAGGCCAGGTACCGGTCCATCGGTATGAGCGGCCGGTGGCGCAGGATCTGAACCGTTGGGCCCGATCAACGGTCCAGACCCGAAGGCACTCAGTAGGACTGAGGCCGACCCAGCACTACATCAGCTGGGTACCAGCCTCAGTCAGGCAGGTTAGTCTAAAGTTGGTCCGAAGGTTAGTAGCAAGGATGTTAGTCTACAGGATTAGCACAGCACTTCAGCGTTAGCAGCGGAGCAGCGGAGAGGACCAGAGCAGCGTGGAGAAGAGATAGCGCAGCGGTGGAAGAGCGTCAGCCTCCGGCCCAGCCCGCGGCCCAGCGCCAGCCCTGAAGCGCCATAGCTGCCTCCCGCAGGTATCAGGGAGAAAGGCCTTGCCTTTCCTCCCTCTTCTTCCTCCTCTCTCTCTCTCTCTCTCTCTCTCTCTCTCTCTCTCTCTCTCTCTCTCCTCCTACCCTCTAGGTCTAAGTCTACTTCTGGGCTACTCCTACTGGACTACTGCGAGTATGAAGGATGGTTACGAGTTCTGATGATGCGGGGATGGCAACATTGAGACTGCAGGTTGAGGACTACTTTTGGGATCTGATTTCATCTACCTCTGGACATGTACCTTGACATTGTGAGATCGATATCTGAGACACTGTGAGACTCTGTGTTCACGACATTTCGGATTTTCGCGACGTCTGATATGTCAAGATACTATCTTTGGAAACATTGAGCTGACGTCGTCTTCCCTCTCCTCCCCTCCATTCATCCGTGTATGAGAATTGACCCTGGCCTTTTCTTCTATGTCCAAGGCCAGGGCTTCACAGTGTTCACACCACCGATGTGTGTTTGTCAGTGTTTCGTTGCAGTCTGAGTCAGGTCTGGGTCAATCCATGTATCTCAAGTCTTCCGCTGTAATTGTACTTACTCGGTATTATCCGGTCGGTTCTGGGGATCTGCGTCATACTTATGACTGTGTTTCACGAGTATGCAACAACTCTCTGCCTGACCATGCACAGAGGAACGAGGTGGTTCAGCCAGATTGCTTTTCTGGCGGCTGTAAAGCTTGTGGGTATGTCCGTGGCAGAATCCGTCTGATCTACACAGGGAGGACTCTCTGCCTGACCATGCACAGACGAACAAGGTGGTTCAGCCGAATTGCTTTTCCGGCGGCTGTAGAGCTTGTGGGTATACATCGACATACTGTTCTTGATGGATGAGCCAGACCGAGTGTGATTGTCTACCCCTTGGTGAAAGAAAGAATTATTGCTTCCCACCGCGTGCACCCTACCGCCATTGTCCTGTAGAGTCCATGAGTTATCTGTGAAAGTAACATCCCTGAAATGACCTGGACGATGTAGGATCTATGCACGAATATTCGGATCCATGCCTGGCACGTGATTATGTGGGGCAGGCTGTAGTTGTACTCGCCTGGCCCATAAATGCAATAGAGAGAACTTCTGTGTTCACACCAGGTGCTGTACCGTCATCATCTGGGCAGATAGCACAGTGCTCTTCGTCTATCCAACGGACAATGTCTGCAAAATCAGATACAGTATAAGGGTTGCAATTGTAAGCGAGGAGACCTACATTAATGGCATAGTACGCACAGTGGCCTCGCTGTAGCACTATGATATCATTTGATTCTACAGGTTGTGCGGCAGGGGGAGGTTCATTCAGTTCTACAGATTGCACAGCTGGCGGAGAGTCATTGCGGTCTTGACTATTTCTGTCAAGTTCCTTCGGCTGTATTAACTCGATTGGCTCTAGTGTGCGCTCCGGAGAAATCATCTTCAGTCGGGGCCTCCATCAAGTGATCAGAAGATGGGTCATTGTCAATCGGGGCCAGGAAGCAGGCAGGGTTAGCTGGATGAGAAATGGGTGGGTCAGACGCAGGAAGCGGAAGCTGATCAACTGCACTCGAGTGGTTGCTAGAAGTGCAAATGCTGTGCACACGTAGCTGCACCTCATGTCTGGTGCACTCGCAAGCCTGCAGCACTGAAGAAATCATCGCCACATAGCAGGCATCGGACTCAATGTGTATGTGTACTATTCCTCACTAGTGTATATCAAAAGCGACGATGTCGTTCCGTACGGTCGCCAATGTGTCGTCAGAGCAGATCTCTAACCCCTGTAGGGGGCGCGGTGATCCGCTGTGTGCGTGTGTGTGTGTGTGTGTGTGTGTGTGTGTGTGTGTGTGTGTGTGTGTGTGTGTGTG